AACTTAACTTAACTCAAACTTAAATTAATTAATTTAACTTGACACAACTTAACGTATCTTAACTTAACTCATACTACATTTATTTTGACTTAACTTAACACAACTTAACTTCACTTGACTTAATTTAATTTTACTTTACTTAGCTGAACACAACTTAACGTACTACCACATAACTTAACTTAACACAACTTAACTCAAATTGAACTTAACTAATTAACTAACCTGAATGTTCAATTAAATTTAGCCTCAATTTTAACCAATAAATTGCATTACAATTATAAAAACCAACTTAACTTTATTGTTGCATTCAAGTGTTGCACTGCATTTTCCTAACAAATAGTTTACAATAATACAAAAAAAAAAAAACCAAAACAATTCTTAATTAACCAAGTTTGCACTGTTGGAAAAAAAACTATCGTAGGCTTATTTGTAATCGAGTTTGTTAACTGCGTGCTGCCTACAACAACAACCATCCTCAATGTCCTCATGCATATTACACGCCGCCCACCGCAAGTTCGTTTCTTAAGTCTTTTGTTCGCATACATTCGCTGCTTGCTACAGTCGCCTTCAAAAACACCAAGAAACAAAACCTCTACATACATAACTACTGGCAATACACAAAAAGCACTGCATGCCTACATATCTACCTTATCTAAATGCAATCACCCATACACACACGCACAACCAAACACACCGCTTACTCTGAGTCAACTTACACTGCCGTAACTGTCACGTGTTTAATGCCTTTTATTTTTTCAACTTTATTTAAGTTTTTTTCTTTTATTTATTGAAATATTTGTGGTGTTCCAATCCACTCCATTCCATTCCACGCCATTCTACTTCCCATTTGTTCAACTTCTCAAAGTTCAAACTAAAAACAAACAACCCAAAATATGCAAAAAAGTGAATGTAAGTATGGAAAAGTTGTATTCTTATGCAAAATTGCGACGAACTTTAAACAATTTTCGTACGCAATAACAGTAAATTAAGCAAACACGTTGCATACGTAATCATGTTGCAATAAATATGTAAAACACTTAACAGCTTGAAAAATATAATTGCACAATTCAGCATGAGTCACCCAAAAAAAAATTACCAGAATTCCTAAAGCGACATTGGTTTGTAGAAGTCAGCGTAAAGAGCGTGAAGCAAACGCATTCACGCTTCATATTTGGGAGCATAATTAGTTGCTGCTTGAATTATTGTGCTACACTGCGTGTATAAACATAAGACAATTATACAAAATTTGTAAAATTAACGCTTAGTTATGCAGAAGTGTTTCTATTATGTACGCCAACGCTGTATTTACTATAAAAGGCACTGATTTCTTTTATAAAGAAATGCGCTATGAAGCAACGATGGGTGCCGCAAAAGTGTTTCTGTAGACAGGTGTGGCTGTTCGGGTCTTAGTTTCGTTATGCCTTTATTTTAGGGTTTGTGAAAGTTCTGCCTATAAATATAAATTTCATCAGTACAGCTTAATTGTAATATTTTCACGCATTGCAACCAGTGGCACTAAAATCTCCTAAACTCTATTATATGCCCGCTGAACCACTCTGTGCTCTTGATAAAGTTAAATTAGGTTAGTTTCGGTTATAGTGACCGGCTGTCCATCGAGACATTTTTTTTTTTTTTTTTGGTGAATTGAAACCTGGACTAAAATTCTCTCACTATATTATAATCCTTTCTGAACCATGCCGTGCTTCTGTTAAAGTTGGTTAGACTAGGTTATACTGATGAGCTGTGTATGGCGTAACACAATTTTGGAAAAACTCATGCTTATTATTCAACTTTCAAAGGAAATACATTGATAATAGCGACCCTCCAACATTTCGATACCATTTTTATAGTAAGATTTGTTCTTTGCTTCAAAATAGGCTTCAGTTTCGGTGACCACTTCATTCGCCAATATTTCTTTCCAGCGGGCATTCTTTGGAGCTCTGAGAATAGTAAATAGTCGCTTTGAACCAAATCTGGAGAATACGGTGGAATCGCAAGTAATTTGTATATATAGATCCTCTTCATGTCATTATTAACATTGTTAACTATGTCAGTCACTTTTCTGACCTGCAAAGACTTCCGTCTAGAAGATACTGTTAAATATCATTCATTAAAAGATACTACCTGCGCCACTTCCATAAAATCGTCAAGAAACCCTCGGCCGATTGTAGTGATTATATTTCTATGAAAGCCTTAGCAGTCGCAAAAAGAAGCATCTATGATCTCCATCCTCTACAATAATTAAACTGTTAGAAGTTCACGCAAGTGAGGAAAGTTCTCTGATTGTCAATTACTTGGGAGTGGCCAGAAACGATTCTTTTATGATGCTCACGACTTCCGATAACCAAGTATTCTCTGGGTAGGCAAAAACCATCCGTTTGAACGCGAGCTAAAGTGCAAAGGAGAAAAATCCCCTCCACAGGGTTGTGAAATGGGTTTGGGACCCGCCAAGTAAAAAACGACCTCCACAAATAGGAACAGAAAGCCTCGGAGGAGTCATTGGAAGACACTGCACTGGTTTGGAGGTCGAAATGTGATTCTGGTATACACTTTTGTTAAGAAGACACCACCTCACACTTGTTCATCTAGTTTGGTCCCAACCGTATAGATAATCGCTTCTGTATACCTGTTCACCTCGCCCATTTTCTAATCTGCTTAAGGAGGGAATGCAATACTGTGGATTGAATTTAAGTCCAATTCTAAAGAATTTCGAAAATTCGTAGTAGACTGTAGAGCTGGGAACTTACTAAGTATCCCTACGTATTACTGTCGTATAAACTATCCGAACAGAATCAAGTTATTTTAAGTCATCAAAATTCTGCAGAAATTAATTATGCTCCCAAAAACGTAAAAACAAAAATGACACAAAATTTGAGTATATACAAATCTACTATATAATAAAGGTATCACCATTATATCATTGCATTTTTATATTATTATGGTTATAATATTTTTCGTATTATTTATTTTTGTGTAATTTTAGTAATAATTTATTTAAAGTGAACATAACAAATTGTCTATTTAAATTTAGCATAGATTTAGTTGCTCTACATTCCAATTAATCACCAATGGTTATGTGCCCTTTTCGTTAGACGCGCCCTCTTTAGCATCCGACACATGCCACACATTATATAAATATATATATGTATATATATATATATATAACAATGGGCGTGGCACTTTTAGGTGAAATCACGTTTA